ATATATTCGCACTAAGGTTTTTTTGTGTTCCACAGTGTTATATAAGGGATACTTTGAGGAATCATATAAACAATTATACATTACCCAAGTTCACGTACATCCAAGTTCGAGTCATACAGCAAGCATTGACTGCTTTTTAATGTTTTATCTATTTGTTTTTGAAATTAACAAATATTTCAGAATTTATAATTAATACGTTGTGTTCATTTTAGTAAATCCACTTTGATTTGGAATTGTACAAGNTCACGTACATCCAAGTTCGAGTCATACAGCAAGCATTGACTGCTTTTTAATGTTTTATCTATTTGTTTTTGAAATTAACAAATATTTCAGAATTTATAATTAATACGTTGTGTTCATTTTAGTAAATCCACTTTGATTTGGAATTGTACAAGATTTATTATATACATACAGTATCGGTCATATCAATAGCAACCCCATTTCAAAGTGATATTATTTCCCTCTCATGTTAATTTATTTCTAAGAATTTGCAATAAAGTTCAATTTCTAACAAAACCTACATAAACCCAATTTTAAAACTACGTAGAAACCACAAAAAAAAATTTCACCCAAAATTCACACTTTTTTCTCAGAAGTGTTAGAATTTTTTTGAGCACTCAGTTTTATAGCCCCTTTAATTTTAGTCTTACTATATGCAAGTTTGAAGTGGCTAAAAATTACCGTTGATTTTTTAGAATCGATATAAAAACAAATCGTGTTTAATCGTCTTCCATATACCGAAAAATGCGACTATATATCGATGGCTGAGTGGAATATCGACCTATATCGTCTCGAAAACACTCGATATCAGAAAACTTTTCAACGCCCTATTTCAAAATTTGGCTGGAAAACGCCCCACTTTAGAATTTGATTGAAAAATGCCCTATCTCAGAACTCGGTTCAAAAACACCCTATCTCAGCTGGCGATCCAAAAACGCCCTATCTCAGCACATTTTCAAAATATTTTCATTTGAGATAGGACTTTCTGAACCGAATAATAATAATAACATACTATATATGTACATTAGACTGCATCACTCCCCATACAAAAAAAAATCGGTGCTATTTTTCCATTGGAATTATAAAATTTATTATATTTTAAGACGTCCACCAAAATATTTCGGAAAAATATTAAGATTTAAGTGAGCTGGACCGATTTGAAAATACCTCTAAAAATGGAATTTTATATGAATAAAAATAGTTTCTTAAACATTTTTTTTTTGAAAAAATGCCCTCAAATGTCAAAACGGTTTTAGCTTAAAAAAATTGCATAAAAATATTTAAAAAAAATTTAAAAAAAATTTTAACGGAATCGTAATAATGAGATTTTTGATGCTGTTTTTTAACTTTTTTCAAAGATTGGTATAAGAAAAACTTTAATAACACAGCCTAAACTCTTCCGATTTAGACTTAAGAGGTGTCATTGGAAAAGTTTTTTCTCATCGTTTTTATTTCGTTGCTAATAAACTCATTCAAAGGATGACAGAGAAAGGTAGGATGAACGAACGTTATTCAAAGTTGAATTAAGATGTGTTGGTATCTGAAAAATAAAAAATTGGGATACGAATGACTTTTTTGTACAGAAATAAAAACAGTGTGAAAATACGTTTCCACTGAGATCCCTTAAGTCTAAATCAGAATAGTTTTGGCCCAGTTATTCAAGGTTTTCGTAAATCAATCTTTAAAAAAAGTAAAAAAACAGCATCAAAAATCTCGTTCTAACGATTCCGTTGCAAAGATTTTTAAATATTTTTATGGAGATTTTTTAAGCTTAATCTATTTTGTCATCTGAGGGGACTTTTTTCAAAAAGTTCTTTAAGAAACCATTTTTATTCATAAAAAACTCAATTTTTGGAGGTGTTTTCAAATCGGTCCAGCTCACTAAAATCTTAATATTTTTCCGAAATATTTTGGTGGACTTCTTAAAATATAACAAATTGTGCAATCCCAGCGGAAAAACTGCAACTTTTTTTGGTGATGCAGTCTAATGTACATATCTAGTTTCAACATAAAAAAAAATATTATGTACTACACATCATTAATTGTCTATACATATCTAAGTCAATATATGTAAAACCGGGTATCAATAAAATGCAAAACCACGTATCAAGATAATGCAAACCCACGTATGCGAGGCTGCATAAATTATTTTCTAGAGAGTAAAAACACTCATATTTCAAAATGGTTATCCTTTTTTAAAAAGCAATCGCATTTTTGGCTAGTATATTTCAGGAAAATGGATAAGGATTGAGCCAAGAACTTGTGTGAGCAAATCCAATTTTTAGCAACAAATGTCAGTTACGCGGTTTTGTACTTTAAACGACGATGTGTATATTAACAGGAACGCAGCAATCTAATACAGGGGTGAAGCAGGAACGCAGCACAGCGGAAGCATACAAACAATCTGCAAATAAATGGCTTTAACAAACAAAAACCTGGTTTCAACTTACTTCAACGTGTCTAAAGCACAACGCACACACTAATGCAAAGGCGCAACAGGGACGCAATACTATAAAACACGGGCGGAGCAGGTAGAAGCGTCCACAAAATCTGCGAATAAATGGTTCATTAGGTTTTGAAATAACAAAGAGCTGGTTCCAACTTACTTCAAAATATCTGCAGGATGATGCACACAATCAAATTCGGAAGCAGCTGCAGTTCACCAGAGAATGCTGCAAATGGAATGGTTCATCATTGAAGTCAAAATAATACGTTGTAACTTATNCCAGCGGAAAAACTGCAACTTTTTTTGGTGATGCAGTCTAATGTACATATCTAGTTTCAACATAAAAAAAAATATTATGTACTACACATCATTAATTGTCTATACATATCTAAGTCAATATATGTAAAACCGGGTATCAATAAAATGCAAAACCACGTATCAAGATAATGCAAACCCACGTATGCGAGGCTGCATAAATTATTTTCTAGAGAGTAAAAACACTCATATTTCAAAATGGTTATCCTTTTTTAAAAAGCAATCGCATTTTTGGCTAGTATATTTCAGGAANTATATGTAAAACCGGGTATCAATAAAATGCAAAACCACGTATCAAGATAATGCAAACCCACGTATGCGAGGCTGCATAAATTATTTTCTAGAGAGTAAAAACACTCATATTTCAAAATGGTTATCCTTTTTTAAAAAGCAATCGCATTTTTGGCTAGTATATTTCAGGAAAATGGATAAGGATTGAGCCAAGAACTTGTGTGAGCAAATCCAATTTTTAGCAACAAATGTCAGTTACGCGGTTTTGTACTTTAAACGACGATGTGTATATTAACAGGAACGCAGCAATCTAATACAGGGGTGAAGCAGGAACGCAGCACAGCGGAAGCATACAAACAATCTGCAAATAAATGGCTTTAACAAACAAAAACCTGGTTTCAACTTACTTCAACGTGTCTAAAGCACAACGCACACACTAATGCAAAGGCGCAACAGGGACGCAATACTATAAAACACGGGCGGAGCAGGTAGAAGCGTCCACAAAATCTGCGAATAAATGGTTCATTAGGTTTTGAAATAACAAAGAGCTGGTTCCAACTTACTTCAAAATATCTGCAGGATGATGCACACAATCAAATTCGGAAGCAGCTGCAGTTCACCAGAGAATGCTGCAAATGGAATGGTTCATCATTGAAGTCAAAATAATACGTTGTAACTTATGTGTATTAGCTCTTAATTACAATACCAGCACAGGTCGGCCAGGAAAACACTAAGGAAATGACCTAATAAATGCAAAATAATAATTTATTTGTAAAATAATTCGGTTCTATTGCAATACTTACCAAATTTCACGCAATTAGAAAACAAATGTCAGCGAATAAGAACAAAACGAACAACGAAAATTTAATCAATGTAGCTTATTTAGAATTTTTTTCTAATATTTTGGGAAATGTTCAGTGAAATTAGCAAAGAAACATCACAGTTTCTCCTAACCTTCAACACCTGTCATTATTGCATCATGGTACAACTACAGTCTATCTTCCAGTGCATATATTTAAATATATTTTGACAAACCAAAATTTTTAATACCTTTTCTTTTACATATTGAGTGCTGCAGAAGATGAGGCATATATTCAGTATCTTTTTGACACCATTGTGGACAACGGAGGAGATTCTTTATCTGAGGATGGGGAAGAGCAGGTGCCCAATATGAGGGATGTCGAAATGTCTGACGCGGAAAATGCCTGTTTCCTGCAAATGCTAGGAGTAGCCTTTATAGATGGTGAATCGGTCGACGAACATGAAAAAAAGAAGCAGCACCAAGGTTGCGCGTATCATTTCAGCAACAAGATAGTGGTCCGAGTCCATGTTTGACCTTCGGAATGTGCGTACGTCTAAAATATTGGAAGCGTGACTTTCGCGTGTCATAAAATGTCGCAGACAGCCACGTGGCTTGAGGGAGCTTTTTTGAAATTTAGCACTCCAAACTAACATTTTCGGTCATAGCGATGCGCAAGCTCTTCACAGAAAAAATGTCAAAAATATATTCTTTGAAATAAAATGGTGGTTTGACGTTTCTTGTTTCCATATAAATAGTAGAAAATTACAGGAATTAAAATTTTGGACTAAAATTAAACACAGGGTGTCCCTGCGGTATTTCAGAAAAACATTTTTTTAAACAAAATTTCAAAAAATGCTAAATTTTAGTGGAATGGATAAAAAACATATTTAAAAATAGGTTATTTTCTATTATTTTGTTAAATAGTACGGGCTTTTAGCTTTCAAAAGAAGAAATAAAAACCTGCTAATTTTTGCGCTTTCTGAAGTAATGCATTTTTCGCTAAAGCATAAAATATTTTTTTCATTTTTTGTCAGTGCCTTGAGATCTGCACGATTCGTTCCATTTTCAAAAATGAAGTGTCAGATTAAAAAGCTTGATCTGTGAACAATAGAAGGTTTATTTTTTTTTAAGAGTTGCCACCTGTTAAAAAATTAGATTTAAATTATTTTTAATAAAACAAAAAAAAAAAAAAAATAAAATAAAATAAAATAAAATAAACAAACAAACCAAATGAAAACAGAAAGCGATGAGTCAAGCTGCAATCCGAGCTCAGACACAACGCGAGCAAAACGAGAGTTACAGCGAAAGCGCAAAGCCCAATCCATCGACCACCCTCAAACCCCCTCAAGATTCAGGTCAGCGGACTTGTCCTCCAAACTTACCATTGACGACTCCGATGTCTTTGAGTGAAGAGTGCGCCTCACCTGTGCCGTATCACATTTCACGCCCAACGCTTACACCAAATTCGGTAAGCGATAACATATCCCAAAATATAGCGGCAACCACAACTAGTACAGTGACATGTTTTACTACCTCCATCGCGCCAACAACAACAACAAACACACCGGTACCTGCCGACTGCATAGCGGTGTCAACAGCACGGCCTATTCTTGCTGCACAAGCACAAATTAACTTGAGTGCAAGCACTGGCAACAAAGGTAAAGCGCAAGAAA